CTTTGGTGGTCAGTGAAAAGCTCGAACTTCGCACCATAGAGGTAACACCTCCAAATTTTCAGTGCAAAAATCACTGCAGCTAGTTCTAAGTCGTGGGTAGGGTAATTCACCTCATGGGGTTTTAGCTGTCGTGAAGCATAAGCTACCACTCGACCTTGCTGCATCAACACACATCCCAATCCATTCCTAGAAGCGTCGGTAAACACTGTGTAGGGCTCGTTGCTGCTAGGGACTATGAGAATAGGAGCGCTAGTGAGTCGATGTTTCAGCTCCATGAACGCTTCCTCACATTCTTCATCCCAAACAAACCTAACATCCTTTCACGTCAACCTTGTCAAAGGCGATACAATCCTCGAGAAATTTTCCATAAATCACCGATAATATCCCGCTAACCCAAGGAAACTGCGAATCTCTGACACATTCTTCGGATGCTCCCAGTTCAACACAGCTTCCACTTTAGAGGGATCAACCGATATGCCTTCTTGGGAAACTACATGCCCAAGGAACTTCACATAAGTCATCTAGAAGTCACACTTCTCTTTCTTGGCATACAAGCTATGCTCCCTCAAAGTCTGTAAGGCAATCCTCAGATGTTCTGCATGTTCCTCCTGAGTCTTGGAATAGACCAAGATGTCATCAATGAAAACAATGATGAATCGGTCTAAGTACGGACGAAAGACTCTATTCATGAGGTCCATGAATGCGGCGGGTGCATTGGTCAGTCCGAACGGCATAACGAGAAACTCGTAGTGACCGTAGCGAGTATGAAAAGCTATTTTTGAAACATCCTCTTCTCTTACCCTTAACTGATGGTACCCTGACCGCAGATCAATCTTGGAAAAGTATCGGGATCCACCCAATTGATCAAATAACTCGTTAATGCGGGGTAGTGGATACTTATTCTTGATGGTAACCCGGTTGAGTTGACGGTAATCCACACACAGTCTCAATGATTCGTCATGTTTCTTTGCAAAAAGCACAGGAGCTCCCCATTGTAATGACTGAGAAAATCCCAGACCTTAAATAATACAATTTATGTATTTAAGCCAAGGATTTTCTTAGACAAATATTATGTGACTGAAGGATTTATGGAATTAATATATGTATTCCTAAATTCTGTAGCAGATTTCATGTTAAGTTCATGTTTTCGATCAAGTAAATTCGATCGATAATTCTCGTCGTACTTTAAGGTGGAATAATTTTCAGTACAAGTATAGTTTGGGAATCTTAATTTCAAGAATCTCTAAACACAACATGATGTTAGCAGCGTAAAAAAGAAAATGCACTGACATTTTTAAAGAAGAGAAAATCCTTAATTGCCAGACAGCTAAGTTAAAGTCACAAGATAGATACCTATAGTAGAAGGGTACAATGTGAGCTCAGGAGTTGACACCGTCAGAAACAATGTCATTCCCGGGATATAATGCAGAAAAGTTAAATTTAGAATTTATTCAGTCTAGAATTAATTTCAAGACTTGAAACAGTTTAAGATATTACG